CTCCTGGGTCTGTGACACGTTTACCCAATAAAGTCAGCTTCCAGCAGATGACGGAGCCTCCAGTATACAACATACAACACAGTGAGGCTAATTGAATTTCAGATTTAAGACATCTGATATTCAATCTTTAAGGCCAATAACATGCTTGTCCCCATCACTGTTTGCTAAAGTAGATAACAATACTAATGCATAAAGACAAGAAAGAACCATTCAGTCCTCACTTAATTAACACACAATGCTGCAAAGCACATTTTTGTTGGATTGGGTTTAGCTGCGAGATACGTCAACCGTCTTGTAACCTCAACCGGTGCTGAGGTGCAGCTATGCAGCGGCGCAGACGGACTGAATGTAAAGCTTTGACATGCTTTCACGGCAAGAAGCCCAACTTCAATTACTTCACCAGATGCCTTTTGGTTTTAGAGACTTTACGTTGAAATTTCCCAGTTCCAAATCAACACATTGCCAAGAAAAGTAGGCAGATATAGAGAAGGTTTCATAGAGCCATGTGAGCACCAGGCATGTGCCTTTACTACACCTTCAGATTGTGTGGTGGACATAACTTTCTCTTACCTCTGCAAGAGTTCACTTGTTGTCTCGGGGGGGTATCTGCCACTTTGTCCTTTTCCCAGCATTTTTGTATGGCCTCTCTTGACACTCTCAGTGCTACTTGTCCGATCCCAAGCTTGCCGCATGGCAAAACAAACTCCCTAGCACCACCTGCAGCCTTAACGCCCTTAACTTCCCCAAACCCACACCCCCTTGAAAATAACTACCGCAGTCCCAAGACAGCTATCCTGATGAGTTGACCCTCCCTAGCACGCTCTGATTTTCTCTCCCCTTACTGTATGGACAGATGATAGAAAGGCCAGCAGGAAGAAAAGCTTCAGCAGGGGCTCTTCCACTCAGCTACTCCTGATCGACAGCAGCAAAGGCAGCAAAGGCAGCAAAGCACCCTTTACCTCTTCTCTCCAGCCCTCTCTTTCCCTACAAACCACGCAATGTACACTTCCAAGACGTGCCTTCACTTCCCCTCTTCTCTCGAGTGTCAAAAGATGGGGAAAACAGAGCCTCTTCAAAGGGAAACAGGAGGTTGACTGAGTGAAGTTTAAGAGGGAATAACAGAAGAGGTGGGCTCAGGGGACGACAGAAAGGGGGGTGAGTATAAAGAGACCAACTGGGAGTCCCTGCCCAGGACAGCTCCACACGGCACAACAACAGGGACGAGAAAGTCCCTCCTGCCACAACTGATTATCACCTCCACGCTCCCACTGACACACGCACCCTCACATAGTCCTGCCAGTGAAGGGATGCACTGGGGTTCTGGGAATGCAATCAGTAGGTGTCGGGATCAATTTAGCTGCTGAATCATCGGAGGGGTCTGGAATACCGTGTCATATTATTCACATTTTGTTATGGTCTGGCAGTCTGAGGTTTCACATGTGCGAGCCAAACGGCCGGGCGTGTTTGGTAATAAGTCACCATTGGGGAAGAACAGCACTGAGTGAGAGCACGTCAGCAGTTCTTGAAGGACATACTACACCTAAAAAAGGAAGAGACAGGGCATATAGCGTGGTGTGGCCAGACGGATCTTTTATTATTTATTCTGGTTGGATTGAAATTGTCATTTGGCAAGGGGATAAATATCATGACTGTGCACAAGGGATCAGTCTGTGAGTGTGAGTTGTTAATTCCAGAAACTGGAACTTTGTCCGCAAGTAGATTTAGGATTTACAGCAAATTGTGACTCCTTTTAAAGGTTACCAGAAAAGATATATAATATCAAGGATAGATGTATTATCCAGCTGTTCACAAACCACAAAGACATTTGGCTTCTTTGCTTTAGCCTAAAATCAATGAATGGATTCTCACATAATGTTCCATCACGAACCCTAGAGTGGCCATAGTTATGTTATATAACTCAAGCATTCATATTTTGTGATCAGACATTTTGATTTATCCTTTATTAATCTGCTTCATAAATGAAAAAGGGAAAGAGAGAGGAAAATAAAAAGAAGTTCCTGGTAAGCTCTGAGATCAGTCGGAGTCTGAGCCGTCACACAAACACGCACAGACTCAACCTATCAAGTAGTTGGGTTACCGTCCATAGAGGGATATCGTTGATCACTTTATATCTCAGCCGACATGCTGCTCCTGTCCCAGTGGTGCACAAGGACCTGAATTATAAATCGTGGTAAAACAGGAGGCACTTAATCAACCAAGAGAGGATGCTTTCACTCCATCTTCGCATTGTCTGCTTCAACAAACTTATCTGACAGATTGTCTTGCTAACAACCACCGGGAAACTCTCGCTAAGCATTGTGCGTCTGCAAGCACGTGCACATATTCACGTGACAGCTCTACATAACAATACCCCACACACACACACACTTATTTTAGGCTCGGTGAGAAAGCAGATACCACTGTAGCGTGAAGTTGTTTCCATAATCGTGCAAATTTGAATTACTCAATGTCGAGCATGGGGGTAATAATAGTGAATTACAATGAAACTGTTAGTCTAGTAGTGAGTCCCATGTGAAAGAACTTCACAATCATGTGTCTGAGAGTGTGTGTGTGTGTGTCCGTTTGTGTGCCGTCTATGTTACAAATGCCGTCTAGCTCTAACCATTCTGGTTTTTATAGTCAATCTGAATATCAGTGAAGCCTTCTCACTACACAAAAAGTGTGCCATCAAACCACATTTCCCACAACTCATCAATGCTGCCTCATCAGCTAACATGAGCGCATTTGTGTGAACTGAGAACATGCTGAGAAGCGATCCGTCATATTCGGTGCAGCCAGCTGTGGTTGAAGAGCCGAGTGATGAAAAGTAATTTTTTGATGATTGAGAGCGACAGCAAGCGGCCTTGCAGAGAACTAACCAATGACAAAGCGTGGACGTCTGCGTCACAGCTTCTCACCATGCCGGGTCTGACCGACACAACTCTCAGCAACAAAACTATTTAACTGAAGCTACAAGTGCAAGAAGTGGTTGTCCTTATACTCGTGTACTTTCTTCACCATACATCAACATATTTCTATTTGTCTGTAAATGTGTTTTAATTTGTGTCAGTTTTTCACTTATTGGTGCATATATTGATGAGAAAGTTTAAGACTTTAAGGCTACAGAACATTTGTGTATGAACAGAACTGTGTGTCTGTGCTTAAGCTTACGGCGTGTCCTATGTGTGGATACAGTACATCTTACCATGCATGCAGTCATTATCAGTAAATTAAGAGGTATTGAGAGAGTCTGTAGTTTTACGGGGATAAAGGGAACAGGGAAATGGTTTGTCCCTGTATCAGTATCTCCATTATAATTTGAGACAGTAATTCAGTGAAACAAAGACAACCATAACAATTCCTACCATTGGCCGAATGCCAAAGTGAGACTGTGCTAAGCAAGAGCAACTCCCTCTCTAGGCGATCGGTTTTCCAGAAAACGCTCCCGGTGCAGCTGAGAATGCCGCTCTGGAGCTGAGCATTCCCATGAAAGAGGGGAATGTTTATTTTGCAGCGGGTTAAAGCTGACATGTGTGAAGCCACTAAGCAGGCTTAGTCTGTTCATTAAAGCCATTGTAATATTCTACCTTCAGCCTCATTAGAGGGAGACGTCTATGTTGAGAAATGAGCAAACCAAAAACTCACAGATTCATTCACGAACACGTGACGCACTTACACACACACACTTACACACACACTGAAGGTCAAATGTGGTTATGGTCATTGCGTGAGAAGAAGGTGTCTGTTTCAGCAGGCCTCTTTTACAGGCGCACCAGCTATCACCAATAACATACACAAACATAACGTCGTGTTTATCTGGTTTTGGGGTTAAAGCTCTTTAAGAAAATTGTATCCAACTAAAAAGCAAGGAATCTCTGTCTGTTCTTCGCATATCTCGAGAACCGCTCCTTCAAATTGACTTCACACTCGGCAGGCTTGGCATGTCTAAATGCAGCACCACAATATTTTCTGCTTAAGTAGAAGAAAACAGTTCAGTTGCATATTTTTAAGTGCTTTGGGGGGCTTTTGTGAGGTATTTCGGGTTACAATGAGTTAGAAAAGTAAGACGATATATTTCATATCTAAACATCATCATGAATGTAAAGCTGTCGGGGGCCCTTTTGGATGGGGGAACAGCAAAGTCTCCCCGTCGTGTTCTCTTCCCGGTGAACCAGAGTGTGTTTCTGACCGTGAGACTTTGATTTATGACGTATTTATGTCATGGCAGGTGTATTGCTCAAGACCCAAAGGAAGCGCAGTGTTGAGTATGAAGTCGTTCGCATGGTTGGTTCTCGAGAAAGCTGCAAACAGCAACCCAAGCACGTGCATACACCTACAGTGAGGAGGACAAAGACACAAACCCACAGTCAAAACTGTTCATCTTTGTTTGTCATTTGCAGTTTAGACGTTGGTGTCCATGTGGCAAACCCAAAGAGAAGATATGACCAGCTATCAGGATCCAGAGAACATATGACCTCATGAAGCCAGCTTTAAAAAAGGATGAGGCACGAGCAATGACTAACAACAGCCTGTAAATTCCTTTGACAACAGTTGCATTTTTATTTTATTGTTGAACTAAAATTACACAGTGACACAAAGCCACGGCACAGCATGCAGAGTTGCTATCGTCCAATCATGTTACTGGCTCCACGGAGCGCTGACCGGAAAAAAAGCCGGTTTTAAACAGTCTAAAATAGAAGCGAGTTTATAAACAGTTAACGTTTTATAGACCTGAACGACCTCAACCCCATGAGTTGAACCTGCACCTGATCCGTGTGAATGGATTTAGTCGCAGACCTGCAGAAGCTTTAAACAGCTGAGATTATAAGAGTTCTTTAACATGTTCACATTTTACAGACTTGAACAGCTCCTCCACTCACTTGCACACAACTAAGTGGCAAGTCTTGTAAAACAGATTGAACAGATTCTTGTGAATAAATTAGTCGTCTACTTTTTACATGTAAATACGAATTAAACTGTGAATTTACAACCTCACTTACCTTACAATTGCCATAATTATCCTTTGATGGGCAGAAGCGAGTAAAGACAGCTTACTCGGTCGAAGTTCCTGTCAGGGATAAAAAGGGTGTCATAACATTGTACTGAAGAAGAAGAACTATTACTTGACTTAGATTCGGCTGCTTCCAGTTACAGTTTTAGTTACATGTCATTTCAACGAAACCATCAAAGTGGAATCCTCATTGTAAGTCCTAATTTTCCTTAATTAATAATGTTCCATAATTAATCCACATATTCCTAGTTTATCAAAAGTCTTGCGACGATCAGGACGCTCAGACTTTTTTTCATTTCAAGTGCAAAAACACCACAACAATGTGGCATATTGTTTGCTTTTTGAATGAAAAATAATATAAATTAACAACCGTTGCTTAAAGATCACCCAACATTGTTTTGTTAAAGATTTTAAAGCAATTCAGGTTGAATTAGAGAAGGTTGAAAACCCCATTTGGATCACACAATAAGCTATCAAAACAACACTGATCTATCTTGAGCATATCACACTTTGCCTCAGGCCGGCAGCTCGGGGTCACGTAGTGAAATCAGGGGCCAGATCAGCGGGTGACCTTGGTTCCACACAGTCTGAGCCAGGGCCTCCTGCAGGGCTCCACCAGCTCAACGGCAGACCAACAGGGGTTAATGTCCGTCTCTTTGTGTCAGCTAAACAAACATTACTCTGAGAAGACCCATGGAGTGAATATTAATATTGGTCTTTAATTTGAATCCTACTCTGTATTTCTATCCATATGAATAACACACATGTATATAATTGACTTTAAGCTTCAGTCGATCTAAATATCTTAGCTCAACAGTCTCTCACACACACACACACACACACACACACACACACACACACACACACACGGCTATTGTGTCTAACTAGCTTACTTAACTAGCAAGCATAATCTTGGACGGGTCATGAGACTAGCTAACTACTCAACTAGACAGTTATAGGCTACTGTGGCTAACTAGCAAATCTGGCGAGCATTATCATAATAGGTCAGTGGCTAGCTAAATAGTTTGCCAAGACACTTACAGGATGGTGTGGCTAGACTGGCCAATAGATATTACATTACATTACATTACAGTCATTTAGCAGACGCTTTTATCCAAAGCGACTTACAATTCAGATTCTATCACATTCATACCGTAGGCACAGCTACGGGAGCAAGTTTAGTCGAAATAGTTTAGGAGATTACAACAAAGGGGGGATATTTGGCAAATTCACACGTTTTGATAACTGGAGAGTTCCGTTTAGTTGAGATGCATCCTAACCGGTCTTAACGGAAGATTATAAGCAGTTCACGCAACGGAAGAGTGATGCCGTGTTCACAGAAACACGGAAATGTATGTTACTTACATTACAGCATATTGTTATTGTGGAGGGGTCTCTTATGTCACCCCTACCTGCTGAAGATATATACACATACCACCACTGCAAGCCAATACAACCAGTCAGAAAGACTACTTATTGAGATATAACTTTATGTATGAGGTTATGTGTACCCACACCAGCAAAAAATAAAAAATAAAAAAGCCCATAAAACCACAACTCTCATCAGTGATCCTTTGCTTTGCAGCCTGCAACTCGTCAGTCAGCGCCACTTCCGGGCTCCAGCTCAGGCTTTGGGACAGAAAGATGTTTGACCAGAATCACATGTCTGTGAAAGGCGGTGAGACAAGCAGACAGATGACCGACAGACTGATCATCTGACTGACTAAACAGACGGGTAGTCAGACGGTCAGGCCTGCGCAGCAGATGGACCACCATGAAGTGCAAGGACAGAGCCAGTCTGTTCACAGGTCACCCCCCTCCTCCTCCACCTCCTCTTCTTCCTCTTCCTCCTCCTCCCACCGCAGTTAATAAGCACCTGTTAGACAACAAATTAACTTGTTGACTTTAAGAAAACAGGACAGTTTTATGCATGTTTTTTTATGATTAGCAGCTTGAATACCGGAGCTAGTATTAACTGTTCATTTACTGTACTCCACATTCTGATACCGAAGGGCAAGTGGATGGTTGAAAAGACATGGTGTTTATTGTCCGAGGACGAGAGGTACATTACGCAGCGGAGGAAGTATTATCTGGGCGTGAAGAGAAGGTGTCCTCGTTAAAAAGCAAAGCTTACACAGCCATTATCAGATGAACAGATCTCAAGCAATGGTTGAAGAATGACATGTATAGCATATTCTTTGGGTATAAATAGAAATTATAATCAAATTATTCATCAAATTACAGGTTTAGAGGAAATGTAGTCCCCTGATGTATGCCTTTAACAAAATACAACTTTCAAATATAGTTTTTCTTCAGTTTTTGCTTAGTTGGTGCTGAATTACACTAAGTTCACTGGTTCATCCGATTAGTAAAAGGGCAGATGGGTAAAAAGGTGATCAACTTATAGCTTTCAGCCTATAGAGTAACAAGTGTCTACATTTAAAAAGTTACGAGAGTGGAACTTAAGCTACAATCGGCCAAACACGTTAATTTCCTCTTAATATGAGCAAACCTGCAGCATTATGTTGGAAGGTCATAAGGACAGCCGAGTAATGATAGTTCACCAAGATGGTTATAGCTCGTTTGGCTAAGTAGCTATCTTACTAGCCAACGCTAAGAAGGTAACCAGCTCCAAAGTAACACGATCAATTAGTCTCTAAATAAATATTAACATCAATGATGGCTGGATTCCATTTAGCCGCTTCAGTTTCAGGGTCCTGGTATGCAGCATGCTGGAATGAGTCCTAAACATTTTTGTTCACTTCCAGTTTTAAATTAGGTCCGTGTTTAACACAAGTCAAAGACATTTCAATGTTTTGTTCTTCGACATATAAAATACGTCGGCAGATTGAATTTTGAAGCTCTTATGCGTCATACAAAAGGCGGTTGCTAACAAGTGGCTAAATGAGAATACTAAATGTCACCAACTAGTTCGCCTTCACAGCCCTTGTGTAAACTCGTGCTCATGTGACCGCGGAGAAGTTAGTACATTTATAGCCTTTGGCTTTTTGCTTCTGGCATGTGAATCATAAAAGTGGTGTTAATTTGTTAATTTTTTTTTGTACATCCAATGGTAAAAAAAAAATCCACTTGCCTTTTTGTGGAGGGAATCCCTGGGACGCCAACTTCCGGGGCTGGCCTGCACGTCAGCCCTGCACCACTTCTATTTCAAAAATACGAGCTCTTACTTTTAGGTTCACATCGTACACATATGAGACAGCAGATGAAGGCGAATTGAAACCTGTAGGAGATGAGTTACGAGAATACGGCTGATCTTTCATCATCAGCTGACTTGGCGACAGATCGTGTGCAGGGTTGTTAATATCTGGCAGAGCAACAGATCTGCTCTCTGCTGGCAGGCCCAGAGGGATGAGGTGTCCGTGTCACACCAGGCTTCACTGACGTGTTGGCACTTCTTTTAACCAACTGACTTTGAGGTCAGTGTGGCTCACATTTAATGTTAGCAGAAAAACATTGAGTGCAGATTATATGGGTGATAACTGCATATGCAGGGAGGTGCGGGACAAAACACAACAGCGTAAAATGACAACTTCAGTCAGGACACATAATGCATATCATTATGTCCCTTCTTGAATTCTTGTTTTTTCTTCTCAATTGAACATTCACTCTGCTTAACACAAACAACGGAATTGCTCTACGTCTGGCTTAAACACCACGCTACTGTGTATGCGTAATATTGTAAATTTGTGTATACTGGTGAGTTTCTAGTAGCACACGTCAATAAAACACCAACACTTTGACACCGATGTTTTACATCTGAAATCTCTCTTTCAGAAGGAAAGGATGTTGAACTGTACTATGACCATCAAAAATAACTTCATCAATCATTGTGAAATACATTTCTGACAGCCAAACAGGAACGGAAACGTACTATACATGTAAATAAATGTTCCTTATATACCAGAATAATGGGTTCGTAGAGAAAATGGCAGAGCAATAACAGCTACGGTGTGAGATGTGGGGTGGTTATTTCTATTTTTCACTTCATAAGTGTGAATATGTTGCGGAGGAAGCAGCAGGAGAGCAGTACAGCAGAGAGTGTGATGTGAAGCAGTGATTAAGATAAAGTAGGTCTAGGCAGTATCAAGCAAAATATACCAGTTATCTCCCTCCAGCAGCGGGCCAGAAATGCATTTCTGCTTTAGGTGACATCTAACAATATAACTTGACGTTTGGCACCATGCGAGTGCTGGCGAACGCACCAGGCCGAGATGTTCAGGAGGTCTGTGGTGTTACAACACGGGCCTACGATCCATCTCAGGAGGTCACCTTTCAGACCGGCCGCCAGAGCAAGTTGAAGTTAGAGCCACAGCCACGCATGTGTGACATGTGAGGTGTGACCAACAGGGTCATTTGATATCACAAACCGAGGTGTAAGGGCGGCGTGATGCGTGTCACTGACCTTGTGTCTGATGTGCCTCAAGCTGAATCCAAAGCTGGATGGCGTTTCCGTCCTTAGATATCTCAAAAAACGTTTAAGACTAAATACAGGAATAGACATGGAAAAAAAAAAAAAATAGGAAACAAAAATATAGAAATGATAAAAAAAAAATATATATATAATACAATCATAAGTATAAGTGCAAATGTTCATTTTGTGGTTGACAAGTGAAGTAGTTTTTTAAATATTTGTAAAAAACAATAAAAATAGGATTATTTCTGTCTATGTATCATTTTCAGCAGCACAATGTTTGATACATTTTCAAACACTTATTCTGTAAAATCCTCTTGAATAATGTGCATTTCCTCGAAAGCTCAACAATACAAACCTTTTCTCTTCATGAAAGCTTCTCCGATGACGTGAGGACGTCGGGTATCGGTGGCACAGCACCACCTAGTGGTCCAATTAAGAGGAGCGAAACACTGACGGGTGCTTGTTTTAAAATCTTTTATTATTTTTGTAAAGTTTTCTTGTTACATAGAAATGAACCAAAACATTTAGAAAGCGTGTAAAACTAGGTGCAACATATGAGGAGTTCAATCCCAAACTAAATATCCAGTCAGGAAATAAAGAAATGATAAATTACAATTTGGCATTCCAGAGAAGCGCAACTACTACTTTAGTCATTTCAGGAGCCGAATAGATCTGGTTCTCCATCTCGGAACCACTTTGGCTTTTAATATATTGACTGATAAAGTTCAGGAAGTTGTGTTGATTTTCCACAGTGGATATCTGGTGTTATGGAATTAAAACTTTCATATATTTAAATGACCTAAAAACAGGAAATTACACAATACAGTAACAACCATAAAAAGGAACCACAACCTTTGAACATTTTAAACCATGTGGCTGGTTATGACAGATACAAGTTAGCATCGTTTCAACGAGTATAAAGAGTATACATTACAAGAACCTCGGTGTGAACAAAGACTGAGCCACTGAGACGCTCCCGTCTCCACTGAGCTTTCACAATCTTCATCTAAGTCTTAACAAAACACTCAACTGTACACAAGATGATTGATCTTCCTGAAAAGGTCCTGAAGGTTTAATCTGGCAGAAAACCAAAACTCTACAGTTTGCCAGATAGAAATGAATGCAGTAGCACAAACGGTTTTGCTCTCTTCAGGACCTTTTTTTAGGCAAAAGACAAATCTTTTTTTTTTTTTTTTTTTTTTCAGTGTAAAACAATTACACTTCTGTTAGTCGTCAGATCCAGCGTGGGTGAAGCACACAGAGACACGGCAATGCTGGAAAATGTGCCGAAAACAAATGTCTCCCGAAGAACAAAATGTTTTTTCTCAAATTTGTAGTTTTATCAGCCTGGAATGATGTCAAAAGGTAAACAGCAGATATGAGTTATTTGGAGCTATGGTGATGTCAGAACGGTATATCCAATCAAACTTCTTCCACCCTTTGGAGATGGTGTGAGAAGCTCAGGACGGTCTGCATGGTTGAGACTAATAAAAGGTGGATTGAGTGAGATATTTCTGTCTTTGGGCTCCGTTGTGGAAGGTTTCCAGCTACACAGTGCAGCGTAGAGGAGGATGATGATGAAGAGCTGAGGACTATTAACCATGGGTGGTGTCATCCTCCACAAAGTCTTTAGCCTGCTCCGCTGTGATCACATCAATGTGACTCACCTAAACACACACACACACACACACACACACACACACACACACACACACACACACACACACA